GCTGTTTAAGGCAAGAGCTCCTGAGATACTAACTTGCACATCTTTAACTTGGACTTTCTTTTTTTTTTTTTAAGAGACACTAAACAATGTGAAGTCTTTGAGAACTGACCTATAATCTTACCTCCTGGATGAAATGTTGTAATGAGAGCCATCACTAACAACAAGTTACTTATTCAAGCTATCACTCATGTTCCAAACTATAACAGATTTTTGACAAAATGTTGACTTATATTGAAAAGTAGTTTAGACTTTCTCATGATAACTCAAGAACAAGTGTCCATCCATCCTTCCAGCTATTGTTAAGAGGTTTAGGGTTTTTCTTTTAAATCTTTAGTTTGTTTTAAACACACTTTTTATAAGAGCTGGGAGATCCTCGCCTGCCCACTGACCTGCAACTCAAAGATGACGACAGTTCTTCTTTCTTTCTCTGAGCTTCCGCTGTTCACTCTGCCGCACAGGACTGTTCTATAAGAGTCTCATATGCAGAGCTTTCCCTTTCGGCTCCAAGTGAAACCCTGGGAGTTTCTCAGAAGCACACCCCGCGGGTGGTGACTTCACATTCTGAGCCCTCTGACAGTGCCGGATTAAGAATGTCAAACTTGGTCACTTTGGATTTCTATCTAGTAATTTCTGCTGCTTGGAAACATGACCAAGCTTCCAGTGAAATTTCATATTAGACAATTACTTAACTGGAACTTGCAGAATTAAAAATTATGTTTGTCCTCTGATGGAAAGCAGCATGTTTTCACTCCCTTCTGCCCTCTTTCTCGTCTCACTTCCACATTAAAACTACCCAAGAAAATCTGTTAGGCTTTTTTGGAAACAAGCACAAAACTTGTCTTTTTAAATCACTGTGACCTAGTGAGTCAGAACTGGATACTCTGAGACTACTGGGCGTCTGCCCTTCTCAAAGATTATACAAATCAAGCTGAATGGTAGGTCTTGTTTTCCTTCTGAACCAGACAGGAGCAGAAGGGAAATGCACCTGAGCTAGCTGCCTGCTTCTATTACACTTCTTGCTGTCGCATGAGTTTGGTTTCACTGATGGCCCAGTACACACACACACACACACACACACACACACAGCAGGGACTTGAAAGGGTATATTTGATATTTTCTCCCATGAATTTGTATACAATGTAGTAATTAACAGGTTATGATAGAAATGAAAGCATAGACCCAGAGGACAGACCATGTCTCTGCCCTGACCTTGAGCAAGCCAGCTCTTGTTTCTTCACCTCAAGAAAGGAACAGATGATCTCTCAGGTTCTCTTTTGCACCACGATGCTATGATTCTAACTCATAACCTGACTTTGTAATTCAGGCTTGTGTTAAACAAACGACTTAGTCATAAGCAGTGACTTAACAATAATCCCAGATCTCGGAATTTGATTATCTCAGGCCCATACAATTGAATTTAAGCTGATCTCAGTTTAAACCCTGTTATGGGAATCGATTTTATTCTCTGCCCTTATTAATATGTCATGCCCCCTGGTATTTGTCATTTCAAGTGTTCAGGAAAAGCAAAATTTTCTGTAAACAATAAAAAAGAAAAAAGCTTGAAGTAATGCAACAATGTAATTGAGAAACTCGTCTCTTTTTCTTGGACTCTGGAGAGATCGTGGGCCCTGCCGCTGCCACCTTTGTATCCTAGCCAGTCCACTATACCCTACGTCGGTGACAGTCTCCATTCCCTCAGTTGTGTGTTCTCCATACATGTAAAGATGGTCCTACTGCAATTCCTCCTGTGTTAATGCTTGAAGGGCTAAGAACCATGTTGTGGAGGTTCTGTTTTATTATTAAATTCAAATGAAATTGTGTTAAATAGAATTAACCTAAAATATATTTAAAAACACTTCCACAATGACTTATTCATCTTTGCACGTTTGTTCACATCCCATAAGACCCACAAAATATGTCTCATATTTTATTTATTTGAAAAGCAGAGAGACAAAGACAGAGATCTTCCATATCCTGGTTCACTCCCTAAATGCCCACAACCGGCAGGACTGTACCAGGCCAAAGCCAGGAGCCCAGCACTCAGTCTGGATCTCCCACTTAGGTGGTTGTGATCCAAGTACTCAAGCCATCATCTGCTGTCTTTTAGGGTACACATTAGCAGAAGCTAGATGGGAAGCAGGGTAGCCTGGACTTGAACCAGGCATTCCAGTATGGGGTGTGGGCACCCCAAAGCCAAATGCCTACTCCTGTTTACTTAACCGATACCCATTATGTGATGTGTGAATTACATCTCAGTAGCAAGAAGCCTAATCCAAAGTGGAGTCAAGACTCAAACCTCAGCACCCCAATATGGAATGTGGGCACCCAGGGCAGCGTCTTACCCACTGTGCCAAACGCCTGCCCCAGGGCTGCATATTTTTAATTCTTGTTTTTGCTGACTTAATAGATGTTGCACTCTGACAAATGTAGATCAAAATGTTACTCTAGCTCTAGTTCAGTTCTGCATTTAATTTGGAATCAGTAAACTGGCACATAGCTACAGTAACACAGCTTTTTTTTTATGTATTGTAGAAAGATGTCTCATCAGTAACATTTCTTCCTATATTAAAAACATATAAATTAAAATCTTTTACCACAAGTTCTACTGATTCATAAACATAAGAATTCCTTTTCCAGTTTTTGAGAAACCTGATTTTGATGAAGGAAAACTTGTCACAACAATATTAAGTCAAGAAATTCAACTTTTCCTCCTATTATTATCCTAAGAATCCACAAAACTGTTTCAATTTGAATTAACATTTTAGAAGGGTGATAGTAGACTGTATACTATTACAGGGCCATTTTTATCATTATAAATCTCTATATAATTCTGCCTGCCTTGTCAATCTTTTTACTACTAAAGCGTTGAGCAGAACTGTTTTCCTGGAGACTCAAAGGACTACTTCTGCCATGTTTCCCTCCCAAAAGCATTTTTGATGCCTGTGGGAAGCTTGATAATTACAGAAATACTGAGGACTAAATATGTATTGCTGGGGCTTAATCAGAAATCAAAACCTAGCCAGCAATTTATATCTATAAATCATACCCATTATATGAAAAGTAAACAGTTCTGCTAGGTAAGCTCGTGTGTGTGTGTGTGTGTGTGTGTGTGTCTATACCACACCAAAATCTAAAATCATTTTGAAACCCACCAATGTTACTATTCTGTTAACAAAATAAGCAGAGCCTCTGGCCACAAACGTAAAGGTGTGGGAATGGTTTTCTTTTGGACACCATGAGCAGACTGTAAGATCAGAGAAGCCCTTCTTTCCCCAGCTAACTCTCTCCTCATCCAGGACCACGTGCAGCCCTCGCGCTGAGCATCCCCAAGTCTGCATCTATAGCTTTGTTCTCTCTCCTGGCCTCCAAAACCAGAAATTAGAATCCGTACCTGATGTTTCTACACTGATCTTGAATTCACCAGGACTGAAATCAATCTCATTCACTGTCCTGTGTTATTAATACTATCAATTGCTTCTCCATTACCCAGGCTTGAAGGCAGAATCATTTACGCTGACCCTTTATACCCAGTCAGTCCACAAAGGAGGCCCCCCGTGCCGCTTTCACATCTCTCTTGTTGTCTCCTCACTAGACAGCTGGGGTAACCTGCTCCATTTCCTCCCATGGCTGCCCATTTTCCACACCTGTTACTGAAGGGATTTGCTAAAGCTCAGATATGATTGCATCACCATGCACACTCAGAATTATCTGGCATTTCTTTCTCGACATGGAAATTTTACAGCAGTATGTGAGATCCTTAGCAGTGTGGCCTTGCCCCCTCCTTCTGGCTTTATCTTCTGTCCTTTTTCCCCGTGGATCCTTCTCAAACCCCAGTCAACTTCTAGATGTCTCCAAAGATGCCAGGCATTTGGGTGTCTTGTATGTCTCCCCGCAGCCTCTTCCTGCTCTCCCATCCTATGTCCTGTTTTCTCAACTCACTCATCCTTCAGTGAGTTAGCGGTGCGTGGCCCTGTGCTGCCGCAGGACCTTGTGGGAGGTAGAGTGTTTCATTGATTCGTCCCTTTACCTACTGTGTTTGGTCTATAGAAAATTTCAATAAATATCTTTATTGATTTTAAAAAATTTTTATTTTATTTATTTGAAAGACAGTGACAGAGGGAGTGAAGAAGGAGAGAGAGGGAGAGAGGGAAAGAGAGAGAGAGATCTTCCATTTACTGGTTCACCTCCCAAATGGCTGCAACAACTAGGGCAGGGCCAGGCTGAAGCCAGGCGCTCAGAACTCCATCTGGGTCTCCCACGTGGGTGCAGGGGCCTAAGCACTGGGGCCATCTCCCACTGACTTCCTGGGTGCATTAGCAGGGAGCTGGATCAGAAGTGGGACAGCCAGGACCAATGGGCACTCCAATACAGGATGTAGGAGTCCCAAGCAGCACTTTAACCCATGGTGCCACAATGCAGGCCCCAATAAACACTTTAATAAATGATTCTCCTTGGTTTTCTCCAACAGCCCACTGAAGACAGAGGTTTATACAAGGGTACTTTAGAAAGTTTGTGGGGAAGTAGAATTAAAAGATAAGTTTATTTTGGTACAAAAAAAAATTTTTTTGAAATCCACACTTTTTAGAAAAATACATATTTTCCACCAGCTTCTTGAATACCTTATTTCTTTGTAGACTTAAAAATTTTACATCAAAGCCGGCGCCGTGGCTCAATAGGCTAATCCTCCACCTTGCGGCGCCGGCACACCGGGTTCTAGTCCCGGTTGGGGCGCCGGATTCTGTCCCGGTTGCCCCTCTTCCAGGCCAGCTCTCTGCTATGGCCAGGGAGTGCAGTGGAGGATGGCCCAGGTGCTTGGGCCCTGCACCCCATGGGAGACCAGGAAAAGCACCTGGCTCCTGGCTCCTGCCAGGATCAGCGCGGTGCGCCGGCTGCAGCGGCGGCCATTGGAGGGTGAACCAACGGCAAAGGAAGACCTTTCTCTCTCTGTCTCTCTCTCACTATCCACTCTGCCTGGAAAAAAGAAAAAAAAAAAAAAAAATTTTACATCAAAACAAACTTATCCTTTAATTCTCTCTTCCACAAACGTTTTGAAGTACCATTGTAGGTAGCTTATGCAGAAGTCAGATCTCCTGTAACCCCAGCCTCACACAGACCCAAATCTGAAATCAGATTAAAAAACAAAACCCTAGAAACAGGTGTGACAAGCTCCAGCACCAAAGTCCTACTCTGTCTTTCTTTAAACAGCCTCAGGCTCTCACTCCCAGCCTGTTTTTATTAATGTGATTCTTTAAGGGTCCAGGTGTTCTCTGGTTCTCATTCAGTGAACAAACAGTGTAAAGTGCATGTCCAGCGATGGCCACGAAAAGATGCTGACAGCTTGCTCTCGAATGAAGACAAAAAGCCAAAATAAGAGGCAGAAAATTAATACACATCACAGATTAGCAATAACTATAAGAAGGTTGATTCATCTCTAAGGAAAGGTTATTTTAGGTACTATGTCCTCTGCTTTAGAAGGCAAAGTATTTTCTAAAATATTTTGTAAAGATTTTCTGTTCAAAAGTATTAAGATAAGGTTTGGTCGCTTCAAGAGCTAATACTTAAGTACTTCGTTGGTTTACTTATGTGGAACCCCTAATTTCTTACTGATGGCAAGCAATAGTTCACCAGCATCCCTGACCTGCTTGTTACCAGTTTCACATTTTGAAAATGCAAAGCAGGAACATTTTTCTTCCAAGGAGCTTCTTTCCCTGAATTTAGCCCCTTACTGTAATTCCTTATTTATAAACTACTGGCAGTTTGCCTCAGTAAAGGTAGTACAAGTGTCTTAATGTAAACATTGTCAAAATACTGATAGTTATCTGCTTTTTCTGATATTTTATTCTCATCCTAGAGTAACTTACTCCTTTGTATCTTGAATTCTTATTTCTGTTTACTCACCTTCATGTCGTATTATTGAATGGTATATTTGTATAGTTTCTAGGCACATGTACGATATCTGAGTTCTAAAGTTTTTGTAATATCTAGAGTGGGAACATGAAACTCATGTATAAATCCAGTATAAAATACGACACTAGAATCAGATACTATTGTGCTATTTAAATTGTGTGTGTTTATGTTAGTTAGCTTTTTGTCACTATGGTGAATACCTGACAAGTTATTTATGAAGGAAGGAGGTTTATTTTGGTGCATCGTTGTGGAGTTCAAGATCAGGTGGGCCCCTTTGATTTGGCCATCTGGGAAGGCCAGAGGATGGCAGCAGCAGGGCAGTGTCCTGGTGTAAGGAAGCAGAGAGCGAGCGGCTAGACCTGACTCAGGCGTTTGTAGGCAGCCTGGTCATAAGGCTGCCTTCTCACAGGAAGGCCCTCCCTGACCACAGGACTCTCGCCAGGCCCAGCTGCGATTGGATTCAGTTTCTACTTTCTTACTACCATTAACATGATTTTGGGGTTTAAGCTACAAACTTCTGCTCAAATTCAAGAGCCATATCCCACTCAAACCATAGAACTGTTGTGTAGAAATTCAACGATGGAAAGGATTATGTGGGCTGAAAAGGAGATGATGTCTTTAAGAGCACAGAGTGGGGTGGGATCCTGTGTGGGTGCGGCTGGGTGGTCTCTGCAACTTGACACCACCTGTTGGTGCAGCTCAGAATTTCAGGGTTCCCTGTTGTTTTTTTCTGCCTCCACAGTGATTTGAATAATACTGTGCATATAACAGATGCATGATTAGTACTTAGATTCAAAATTAATGAAGAAAGCATATTATGTAATACTACAGTACATTATATAAAAATGTGCATTATAGCATAATACGAAGGATTGTTATTTTTGTGACATTTGACTAAAAATGAACAGGGTTCACTTCCCACATACCAGAACTGCTGTACGCCAAAGGAGAGTGTCTTCCTTCGGAGCCCTCGTCCCGGGAGCCTCCGCGCTCTCCGAGGCACTGCCATGCCGCAGAATATTTTTGGAGCTCCTCTTTCGAATTTCCTTCAGAGGCTGTGACTCATCCTTTGCAGTATCCCCAGGATCTTTTTCAGTTGAGAGTGGATTTGATTTTTGGAAGCAGGAGTCACTTGGGGCCAGGTAAAGTGGAAGATGAGCTGAGAAATGCTGGTTTTGGTTCCTATTTTTAGGGACGATAAGTAATGAGAGTGTTTTCTAGCTTGACTGATAAAATAACCAGAGACAGTTGCCTTCTTAAAGCAAAAGCTGAGCTGCAAGTGTTATCATTTTAGTGCCCAGTCTGGTTTGCTCTTACATAATTCTCCTACTCCAGAGCCCATGGTGGCTCCCTGGGTCCACCACTGCCTGGCCTGGGCTCCCGGGCCTCCCAAGGCCTCTGTGGCCTTACTGCCCAGCCCCACCAGGCTCCTCTTCTGAGCCCCTGCCTCGTTGCGGGGGGGGGGGGGGGGGGGGGCTTTCAGGTCCTGAGTCCTGCCTCAAGCGCTCTCCTTCAAGAACCAGCTGGGTTCCAGCTCCTGAAAGGGGATCTCTTTGTTCTCCAAGTTCCATCGAATTGTAGCCGGGCACCTTTCTGTTTGGAGGGGAATGTGTTTTAAAAAAGTAAAAGCCACAGACAGTGTGCCCAAAACAGCACAGGTGGCCCGGCAGAACTTGGCGCAGGAGCCCCCTCTCTGTAATCTGCAGCCCACACGGTGGGGTCTCATACAGGGCCCGCGTCCATCCTTAAATGTTTATCCTTGTGTTACCCTCAGCTCATTTCTAAGTTCTTAACGCCACAGTACGTATTGATCTGAATAGCATTCTATAAATCATCATAGTCACAAAGTTTGTGTCTTTTTTAAACCACTTGCCTGCTACCTCTGCTTTAATATTCAATTTTGAAAGGAAACAGGGTTTTAGATTTTTTTTAATGTTAAGAAGATAAAAGCGCGTTCAGTGACATATTTCAGGACATCTCATAAGCCCTTAGACAACATCCCTAAAATGTGTTTCTCAGGAGATAATCCATATCTTGCTGTTTCAACATAGAAATCGATACAGTAAAGCTTGGCAAAATGCCATAAATCCTATTATGCCTCAGAATAGATGTTATCGCTCTTACACACGTGACGTGAGACCTGTCTTCTGCCGTTGTCCATACCCCCAGCGTGGCCGCGCTCTGCTTCGTGTCCACACGCGCCAGGCCCACGGCAGTACTTGGGGAGCGCTGTTCGTACCAGGCTGGCACACCGGGGACGCTCATTTAAAACCATGTTTTATCAGGCTCGCCATGGGATTTCCCGACTGTGCTTAAAATGTGCACTTACGGTCACATGGAGGATCATGGCGCTGCCCAGGGCCTCATGGGACATTCCTGGGGTGACACTGCCCGTGGCCAGGCCTCTGCCGCTCCGAGCTGGGCAGGCCACCCAACAACCTGTTTGTTGGCGGGTTTGTCTTTGTGCCTTTTTTTTTTTTTCAACAGATACATTTTTCTCCTTTGCTCTGTCCCAAAAGCAGAGGTTTTGATCATTTTGTTGCAAATTACTTGAGATTCTTACAAGATCTGGCTTCTGGGTTCTTTAGGGAATGGATTCCTGTTTGAGCTGTTGAACCATACTTCAAAACCGTTGTAAAGAATTTGCTGAAATATTTATGCTAAAACTCTTTAGTCTTGGACATACAGTAGGTGGTTTTACTACAGTAACATCTTTGTTTTCTTCTCTGTCTAGTTAAAAAACCTGAGTTTAGAGGAGCTGCAGATGCGGTTGAAGGCGCTGGACCCCATGATGGAGCGGGAGATCGAGGAGCTCCGACAGCGCTACACCGTGAAGAGGCAGCCGATCCTGGACGCCATGGACGCCAAGAAGAGGAGGCAGCAGAACTTCTGAGCCGACCTTTTCCTGTTTCCATGGCTATTCTGGAGACCAAGAAACCACTAAGAATTGAAGGAACATTGTGATTTTTTTTTGTCTTCTTAATCCCTTAGATTTACGCTCTAGGCCAAAGTCCAAAACTGATGATGGTACATACCCGGGTAACTAAAGGCAGACTCTCCAGTTGTTTCCACTGTGTTCTCATCTTTAAGTGACCAGAAGTGTGTTCTCCCCGCCCCCCCGCCCACTGCATACCAGCAGCAAAACCATGTTCTAGAACAAAGGCTATGTGTAGAGACCTTGAAAATCCAAAGCTATTGTTCCATTGTACAGCACTGAAGGGCTTTATGTCACAGTACTTTTTATTCCTATCTAGTAGCCTATTTATTGTATCTCACTAGGTAAACTTATTTATTTATGCTATTTCACATTGTCTTATTTTTTAAGGACAAGATCAGGATAGAGTAGGAGCAGGTGGGGACATTTTAATAGATAATGATGCACAACAAAATGATACTTCCAGCAGGGAGCTCTGGGCTACCTTCCTTGATTTCCAGGATAGTTTTTCAATACCAACAAAGCAATAATAGTAATAGTGCCCAAATGGATAGAGCATTTTTTATATTGAAGCAATAATTCCATTTTTACCTTTTGAGATTTTGTTTAATTGTTTTGATTTTTGATGTTTGCTACAAACAGAACTATATATATTTAGGTCAAACAGAGCTATAATGTTTAAAACCAAAGAAATCAGTGGAACCCTTGCACAAAAAAGCATGGGAAATATTTTAAAGGAAATTAAACCTTTTGACAAATGTACTTTGTTAGCGTTGTTTCGTGTTTCATGTGTAAGTCTGATAGCTAAACTGAATCAAACTGTAATAGCTCATCAAATTTATTTCCATGGAAATGCGTTCTATTGACACAGGACTTTTTGTTGATTTCATTTATTTCCTAGGAATTGGTAAACATCTTGTGCCTGATAATAAAATAGCAAAAACATTTGTACTGGACTGTGCAAGCCTTGGAGACTGGGGAAATAAAAAAGATTAAAACCGTTACAAAGAAACTCACTTCCAAGGGAAATGCGCACTGGTGAGACTGAGCTGGGACCACGTTTCCTAAGCTGCCTGTAGCTGTGCTGACAGTGTTCACTCTGGTGTGTTCGGTTACTACGTGGAAATCATGAAGACAAATACACTTCACCCAGCACTTTGCATCTCGTTATCTTTATTATCACTAACGTGGGTTTTTATTAACTAACATGGCGACTCCTCACTCAGCCCATCCCACGTGGGCGGTGCTCTGCTGCTGTCATCCACACTCGGGGACCTTGTGGTCATCACAGCCAGGGATGGGAGTTGGGGCGAGTCTCAGGCCAGCTCCAGCCTGCAGGAAAGCCTTGCCGGTCCTCAGCAACCTGGTATTCAGAACGAGTCATGAGGCCTCCCTCACTTTGCAAGGAGCTGGGAAGTGCGGCGTGCAGCCCTGCAGAGGGAGGCGGGGCGGACAGGCAGGTGAGCTCAGTGATGCCTGCCACAGGAGGTTCATCCTCCCTGGGAAGCTCCCCTTCCTTTTGAAGATGCATGAGTGCCCCAGGTAATACCAATGCAGTTAGATACAAATGATGAGATTGGAAAAATCGTGATGAATATTGAAAAAAAGGTTATTAAAAATGAAGACTGAACTTAGAATATATGTTTCAGCTCTCCCTTGATTGAGGTCTTTTGGGATCGTCAGATGAGCTGATCAACTCAAACACTCTACCCTTTTTTTTCCTAATAGATTTTCTTTTCACTCACCTGTCCAATACCTGCCTGATTTGGTTGAATCGAATGACTGATTTGCTGTCATCCAAGCAAAACCATCTCTGACACACACGCAGGTGGCCTGTGAAGATGATGCCTCTTCAGTTTGCTAAATTGGAAAATACATGCAAATTAATCCATGAGGCCTGTTAGCCACTCTGACTGCTTTGCTCTCAATGAGAGTCCTCATTTTTAAACTCTGGACCAGGCGATCACATTCTATTTTCAAAGCAAATAAATGTTATACCCTGTTGTTAAATCTGTATCTTTTTAAATCTACCTACATGATCACATACATATATTTAGGAGAATTAATAGCAATGGCCCTTGGCTTATTGTAGAGCTTAGGAGACTCCAAAACATTTTAGGGTCATCTTTTAAGATTTTTCCCATTGTTTCACTCCTTGTCCCGACCAGCCATGAAAAAGAGCTTAGAAGAAGTTTTAAAGAACTACAGCCATGAAAAATGAACAAAAACCTGAATCAGTTCTGGGGTAGCCTTGACTAATCATGTTGCTTAGGAAAGAGAGTTTTCTAGTTATTTTAATGAGTTTGAGAAGAAACCTCTTATTTTAACCTTGGTTGCTGAGAACTTTCCAAAAATAAGTCCGTGCACTTCCCGCACACCCCCAGCCTTTAATAAATACAGTATTGTGAATGTAATTGAAGCTAATGAGTCAGGGTTTCATCTCACTGGAAAGCCAGCATCGTTACTTACATCATCCCGAAAATGAGAAAGTTTGCTCTTAGATTTAATGAACTTAGATGACTCATTTCTACAGACTTACAATACATTGAGCTTATTTTAGCAAAAATAGTTTTATGTTCAAAATGTGAGCTTATTTGGCCAAGATAAGTTGGAGAAGAAAATATATTTATTTAAGTGGTTTTCAAAATAATAGCACCTGTTGTTTGGGGCACTCGCTGTGTTTTGGCCCCTGTGCTGAGCGGCCTCACCGCCCTTTGGGTGGGCCTTTAGGTTTCTGTCCTCTGTTTACCGAATCAGCCCCGGGTGTAAAATCACACTGTACTCATTGAAGGGTATGAAGACTCTCCAATGGAAATTATATAATGCATTAATAAGATGTTTTAACTTAGTCACAGGCAATCTTTTCAAATTACTGACAAATTAGCATTCAACAGGAGTGCTATTTTTGCTTCCTATCCTCTGTGTTAAAGATTAACGATTAAAATAAGCCCTGACTAAGGATATTCTCAGGACAACATTAGCTTGGCTTTCCTGCCCTTAGTACCCCCACGCTTTTTGGGGATGGAGGGGTGGAGCAGAGGAGGGAGAGGCACGGGAGGCCTGGCCCTGGCAGGTATGCCCATGGAACCTGGGTCACCAGCTACAGTAGGGCCATGTGTGCCTGGGGTCAAAGGGCATGTTCCTCCTCATCCAAGAGGCTTCTGTGCCTTCTAGAACCCCCTGTTTATTCCCACCCCTGCTGCTTGCCCTCAGCCAGTCCACTTCTCCCTGGCCAGTGAGGAGTCAGGGCAGCTACACCCTATCCCCATCCCAGCTTCTCTGTCCTAATGCGTTGAGGTGCTAAACTGAGTCCCCCTGCCTCCCTGCTGTGTGGGTATCAAGTCCCAGAGAGAGCTGCTCACACTCCACAGCCGCACACATTTACAGAATGGGCTCTTGTTTAGGAACGAGCAGGGTTCTTCCATAGAGCAAGGCCACCTGTCAAACATGTCCTTGTGATGGTGCTCCTGCCATACACTCTAAATTCAAGGGTACTTCAAAAGGTTTGTGGAAAATGGAATGAAAAGATAAGTTTACTTTGCTGCAAAAAAACTATTGACATCTATATATATGAGAGATCTTCAAAAAGTTCATGGAAATGCATATTATGGGAAAACCATGTCTGGATCTTAAAATTTTGTGCACCAAAATAAATATACCTTTCAATTCAATTTTTCATGAACTTTCTGAGGTCCCTCCATTTATAAGTTAAATTCAGGCATCAGCTGTGACCATCTTTGCATTCAGATAATTTTCAAAAATTGAATCCTTGTACTCATATTTTTTTACTGATTGTGGGAAAGAGAGAAAAGACATAACACCCCCCACAAGAAAATAGAACATCATTTTTAAAAAGAATTGGCGTTACATTGCGTTACTAAACTTTTATCAGGCACAGGCATTTAATTAGATATTTCATCCAAATGCTATTTTGTAGTCCTAGGTAATTTTTTTTTTTTTTGGCACAAATTACTAGAAGTCTGGAGTGTAATGAGAACTATTTTTCTTTGCTGTGTGAACAACGTGATGAGCCCTGGACCCAGTGATCTGTGGATGTCAGCTGCATAGACTGATGCCACTGAGTGGTGATTTTTCCTCTAGGGAGTTGGCCAGCTTTCCCCTGTCCCACATCTACACAAAACACCTTCAGCCCTCAGCCAAGCACTTGCCTCTTCCTTTTTGGGTCACAAAAAGACTCCAGGAGGGAAAGCAGAGGACCAGCTCCACTCTTCGCCAGCCTTGAGAGCAAAGGCGAGTTTATGCTCTTCTCACCCTGGACTGGGTCCTTAGCTAGACCTGCCCGCCACTGACTCCTTCTCCCAATGAAGCGACCTAGATAACAACTCTGATTTGGGGCTCACTCTTCTGCTGGCAGAATTTGGCCTACCGGGTTGAATGAGCTCTGCCTCCTGCTATTCAAGACTTGACCAGGATCCAGCTGACGTCACCTCCCCACCCACCATGGCCTTACTTGAGCCCTTCCTCCCACCCAACTGACCAATTTCCAAGCTCTATTAAAATCGTCGGATTTCCCTTTTCTGGGCTGCAAAGTTCCTGAAAGCAGAGTCTTGGTGGTTTGTGGTTTTTTTTTTTTTTTTTTTTTTTTTTTATCTTCTTTCCCCCACAACGCTGTCATTAGAATTTGCTGTTAAGTTTCATTGAATGCAATGAACTCAACCAACAAAGTCATCATCGTTAACCATAATAAACTGTTTCTCTTAGAATCTAGGTAGTTGCTGTAACAAGAATAATCTGACCATATCAACCATTGATAGGACCCATACCAGCCAACCGCCTGAACACCTGCTGAGCCATGCACTCTGGGATTGTTAGCTCGAAACATCGGAACCAGCTGTCCACCCCTCCTAGTGACAAAGAACTTGAAGACTGCAAGATGAAATGAGATCATTTCATCTAGTTAATCCCAGTATGGGCGTTAAACACCTGACTGTCTCTACTATTCCTTTTTCCCATAGAGCACTGTGTCTGGGACGCCTAGGACTATGCCAGGCTTTCAGGAGCTGGGCAGGGTTGCTGAGCCTGCCCACCGCACCAGCATAGAAGGAGACAGGACCACTGCTGGCTGATTTTACCTCTTTCCTAGTTCAGTCAACCCACATGCTCTGTGATGGCTCTGTGTGGAAAAAGAAAACGCAGGGTGTATTTGCTCACACCTCCAAGATGAGTAGGACAAAAACACTTCTTGCCTTTGTTATTAGGATCTATCCAGAGTTCTTGTGCTGTGAAAGAGATGGGTTTCTTGGTAACCCAATGTACGTCTTCTATTCGCTCTCTCACCAGTCTGTCTTTGAGAATGAGTAATTCAGAAAACATACAGCATCCTGGAAGGAGCCAGGCATCAGAAGCGAAACCAGCTGAGCCCAAATTCCGGGTCAACCTTTTCAACTTTGCTGACCGAAGGCAAAAACAACCATTCAACCAACGCGTGGGAATTCCTTCATCTGTAATAATGCAGTTGCTGTGAATATCCACATTAGAACACATGTTCTAATAAAAATATTTAACAACGTTCCTGGCATATGGCGCAGGTATTAGCTTCTACAGTTTTTCAGCCTTTTCAGTTGAGTGCATGGTTTTTGCAGGAAAGAAGGCAAGGGCTGTGTGTACTGGTCAGCATCCCAGAAGTCTCTTGGGACCCAGACAGGTTTTCCTTTAAGGGCCCAAACTCAGTGGTTTACCCTGAGGGAGATCTATCCTGCCCAATTTTACAAAGTGTTCCTTTTATACATAGAACACAGTAA